TATACATATTGTGCAAATGTAAATAGTCTTGTAATTAATGTTCAAACCTGTATAAAATAGATACTTTAACTGTAAAACCGTTTTTGTCTAATGTTTTATTGGACCAAAGTTGTAGTTTTTATTAAGTGTAGCGTGTTCCTGGTTGGCAGTTCTTTTTTGTATGGCATGTGTTTGATTTAGCTGCTTGTTCCATCACCATAACTGTAAAAGAATTGAAACTGAACTGTATTGCATGCTTCACAGAACTCTTAACTCCTTTACTTCAATAACTGATACCTAAACAATTGTAATATTTACAAAATCATATTTCATATTAGTCTGCTGTTGTAATGCCATACCTATGACTTACTATACTGAAAATATTTTTGTGTAAAACAAAAAAAAAAACCCTTTTGCTCTTATATGGTGGTCTCAATAGAGCCTATTTTTTCCAACAAAATGCCTTTGAATGAAAATTCTTAAATTGTATATTGTCTATTTTAATATTAATCTATGGAACAATATGTAAATAGTTGTAAATATAATGTTTAATAAATTTTATTGGTCATGTTATTAGTTGGAATTTCTTAATATTGTAACACTTGCTATATGAAATCTTAGCATTCTTGAAAATATGTAAGGAGACTCAATGAAACTAAAAGAGAATTCCCATGTTGCGAAATGTAACACTTTTTTATTCTTGGTACTGTTAATGAACAGACAGTTAATTATTTATTAGTAGGAGGTTACAGATATTCATGAAAAAGATTTGTTACCCTCTAGTCCATAAATTATTCAAGAATGCTTGGGATCTGATGTCTGGGAAATTACTTCTGAGAGAAATGGGGCTTAGGCAAGAGTCCCGCTTACCCGGAAAAGAGATTTTAAGATACTTGGTTTGAACTGATTTTTAATTACTGGGTGAACCACTACAGAGTACTTATTCCTTCTGCTTTTGTGAACGCCAAGGGTGCATTCCTTGTGATGGAGAGCAAACGGGCATTGAAATGAGAGACTGTATGGACAGCAGGCTCCTTCCCGTGCTCACATCACTGCTAGTTCCAATCAAGAATGAAGTAATAGTAACTCAAGCATAGTAAGACCAATTAATATGTAGTTCCTGCCCTGTAACTTTTTTTTTTCCCCCACTTTTAATGTGTTAGGTACCTGTGGAAGGAGAAGTTGTTCCTGCTTTTATATAGGAATATCTTCCTGACATCGCTCAGAATTGAAGATGTACTGAGGAAAATGCAAATGTGATACTCTTCCAAAAGTAAAATATTCTTCTGAAAGTGGCTGTTGAATTTGAAAAGTAATACAGAAACCTGTATTATCTGCTTAAAAAGACAAGGAAAAATAGAAAGCTGCAAGGTGTTTACAACTAGTAAGTGGGTGTGAGTTTACTTCCATCAGATACTTAGAGTAATAAAAAGTAACATACCTGTCTGCAAGTGGGAGAACCTAATACAGACTTTTTGGAAGTATGGGGTATGAATAACTAAAGAATAGTTCATAAAGAACAGAAAAGGTAAACTGGGTTGCAGGAGTGTTGGCAGCATTAGGCAAGTGGGTGACAGAAATACTCGGGATGGAGGAGACAACAGGGCGGATTTATAGCTGGAAGTTGCTGCGGTTGTACAGTGGTACCTCGGTGGGTGCTTGGAGGGAGGAGAGCATTGGCGTGTACCGGGGCAACCGCTGTCACACAAAGCGGGCAGCAGGAGCAGCCCCAAGAGTCCGACCAGGCTGGGAGGAGGGTGGGGGTTCCAAGGGTGTTTTCTGTAAAACAAATGGGAAGTTCATCCTCTGGAAATATCAGCAGAAACATTTTTGTGATTAATTTAGTAATATTTTGGCAGTATCCTGTATTATAAAACGATGCGAAGACAGGTGTTTCTTAAATTTAACTTACGTTTTCTTTACAAGGAGAGATTATTTCCTATTATCAGGGTCTGTGAAACAGATTTTTGTTTTTTTCAATTGCAATTACTTAGGATAAACTTAGTTGCTCAAAGAAAGGGGACTGTCCAAATGTTTTAGTCCCTCAGACAATGATTTTCTGGCGTCCACTTGAATCCAGGGTTTGTTCCAATTGTGGTGGGTTGGGTTTTGTTTGGTTTTTTTTTTTCCTCCAAGTTTACTCCGTGGGACGATATCTAGTGTGTTAAAGACACCCTGCTGTGGATTTCTCTCAATAAAGTGGTGTTAGTTGGGAGGGGAGGAGGGATGAGAGTAAATCCAGTAATGCCACGTTGGGGTGATGGCCGTATTTCCCTGGCGATGGTGTAGCGGTCTCCCGGGAAGCCCGAGGTCCGCTCTGGGTTGCTGGGTACCTACCCGCGTTTCTCCTGGGCTTTTCTTCTGGCGATCAAACTCGTTACCCTGATCCTTTGGCTCTTGGCACGCAGGACGACAAACCACCCCCACGGCCGAGTTTGCGAGACCTTGAGCGGGGCTTTCTCAAAGCCTGGGGGCCTTTCGGCGCCGGAGGCTGTCCCTGCCCTCCCCCGAAGCCGGTTGCGGGGCTTCCCGACCCACCTGCCCGGCTCGGGGGCAGGTTTCTTCCCCCCCGCGTTCTCCCCTGCTCGCACTCGGGTGGGACGGGGGACACTCAGCCCTTCACCCCCGGCAGAGGCGCCCTCCCGCCTCGCGCGTCCCTCTCGGCGGGGTCCGGCACGAAGCCTCCCAAACTCCGGCTTCCCTCCCCGCCCTGGAGGGTCCCAGG